AGGTACTTTATGATCTGTTCTTTCGTGTGACCTTGTGTACGGTCCTTCTTCAGTTCTTCTGGGAATGTTCCTAATTTTGGGGACTAAATCTCTTTAAGGAGGGTAGGTTGTAATGACTCGGTCATTTCCTTCCTTTCCTTTTTCTTCAGAATTTTACGAATGAATTTTTTTCGTTGAAATTTCTTTTCTGAGTTCAGTTTCTCGTCGCTTAGTGTCATCTCAAGTGCTCGGAAATGGTTTCTGAGACTCTTTCCTTTGGATTGACAACTTCCTTTGAGGACCGAGTCATTTCCACAATTTTCATTTTTGACACTATTCACTTTTTTGTCCTTATTCCTATTTCGTCCTTTTCCTTATTTTGTCTTTTTCCCGTTTGTCACTTTGTTGGTGTAACCTCACTCTTTGTGTTTAGAGTTAGTTTTTGACTTCACGTATCTTCATTCTAAGTGGTTTCCACGAAATACGTACCTTTACTTTTGCAAGAAAGTACTCTGGTTGTTCTCGGTGTCCATACGGGCATGGATGCAAAGTTCTTTGGAATTATTTTCTTTTCTTGGGGTGTTTTTCATAAATATCTTTTGAAGATATTTTATTTCAAGGATTTTTAAGAAAATATTTTTGGAAGATATTTTCATTCTGGGTCATTAGTGCAGTTTTCACTTTTTGGAGGGGCTATTGTGCAATTAATGAAAGTTATTACAAAAATACCTTATTTTGAGCCTGGATCCTTGTACGGGATTCATTTTCACTTTTCTTCGAGTCATGTACACATAGAATTCCATTCTGGTCGTTTTTCTCTAGTTTCAGAGTTTCTGACCTCGATTGCCGTCGAACTTGTTCGGGGCATAACTTTCTGCTTGGGACTCGGTTTTTGACGCTGTTTCTTCTGTTGTTCTTATTTTATCATTTTGAATCTTTTTTGTTCATAGAGTTTCATCATTTGAGTGCGTCTGCTCAAATTTTACTTTTCCGGACTTGGCGGGGCCTATTCGGGGCACTTTTTGAGATTTCTATAAATGGGGGATGAGATATTTTATTTTTTCATCTTCCCCACTCTCTTGCACGACCTGAAGCTTCCATGGCAGCCCAAGGGAGGCTGCCACCTTCTCTCTCCTCATTTGAACTGCATTTCTTTGTCAGAACATAGTAGGGCCTTTGTGTTTTGTGTTCGTGTTGACTACGCGCTTCTTTCACTCTTATTAGAACCCGTTTTTGGCCAAATTTTTAGTTCGGGTTTGAAGTCAAGTTGTGATTTTGATGGGACTTCTTTTGGGTTCATGTAGATCGTGTTGTCCCCGACAAAACCCTTCGGTATCGTCGGATTCGGAGCACTTTTTTTTCGGTGGGCTTTTGAGATTTTTATCTCAAATTGAGGTAGGGGATATGTTAGGGTTATATTAATGTTGTATTGATTGTTATATGAGCATATACAACTTGTGAGCATGCCTTGTTCAAGTTGTACAATTTAATTTAATTATTTTCTTTGTTTAAGATTTAATTCTCATGATGCTAGGCAACTTAGAATTAAATTGTGGCATGCTAGAAATTTAGGCCTTGGTATGGTGGTTGATATATATTAAATTGAGATTATTTGAATAAGAATTGCAAATTTTATTTAATATTTATCTTTTGTGAAAGTTTAATTCACCTAGTTGTATCAAGCATAGAATCAGCTTGTAGTGTGATATTAAAGTAGGCCTTGGTGAGTTCTTTAACATATATTAAATTGAAGACATTTAGATATGTTTGAAAATCTAGAGAAAATTAATTAATTAGCTTAATTAATTTTATTTTTTAAGTATTGTAGGCACTTAAATTGATTTTGGGTATAATATATGTGAAGACTATGCTATGTTCTTTACCATATATTAATTTGAGTTTATTTGGGATTAATATGAAATCTAGAGACTTTTCATGTTAGTTTAAAAATCCCTTTTAATGTAGTGAAATTAATTACCTTGTGAGCATATTACTAGTTGGATGTAGAATTGGACTTAGCATATTACTAATTTTAAAATGGTAATTGGACTTAGCATGATATAGAATATCATTGACTTGTAAAGCTTGTTTAAATATATCTTGTGTAGGTATATAGCTTGTTAGAATATTACAATTGTTTACCTTGAAAGTTTGTTACTACATTGAAGCTCATTTAGTACTTGTGGCTTAGGATGGTAATGTGATTCAATTGTTGTAAAATATTCTTATTTTGTGTATAATTGCATATTGGCAACTTGACATGTCATATGCTATTTAGACTTGAATCATATGACATGGTTTGTGTGGATTCAACCTTATTTGTGCATGGAAGATGGTTTTATGCATTATTGATTTTGATATAAGTTTGGTCTAACTTATTGATTTTAGTATAATTTTTGAACTTATTGATTTTGGTATAAGTTTTGAACTTATTGATTTTGGGAAGCTTGTAAGGATGTATTTCACGTGATGGCTAGGGTTTGGCTCTAGTACGGAGACAAGAATCTTCTAAGTCATAAGTGCGCACTAGGTAGTACCTTGTGGGTCGTAATTGCCCGGAATAACTTATGCATGTGCGCACTAGGTAGTGCCTTGTGGGTCGTAATTGCCCGGAAACACTTGCTTGGTCTAGTGACCGCATGTCCTAGTCTTTCCACTATTTGATTTCGCATTTAATTTCAAGTTGTTAATCATGGATTACTTGTAGCTTGAGAATTAATGCTTGCTTTGGATATTTGAATCTTATTTAGTATACTTGAAACTGTATACTTGTTTTGTGCATTTAGATCTCATATAGTGTATTTGAACTTGTATGTTTGCTCTGTGAGTTTAGATTTCGTTTAGTATGCTTGTACCGTGTATACTTGTCTTAGACGTATCTCTCTTAGCTTAGTATACTTGTGTCGATATACTTGATTTACGAGATTTTCATATAAAATGCATACTTGTGTAAATATGCTTAGACATTGCATGACTTATCTTAATGTGGTTTAGTATACTTGGAAATGTATGTTTGTATGTTGTATAACATGTTTAAAATTGTTTAGTATACTTGAGCATGTATACTTGTATGTCGTTGTTCACTTTAAATTGCATGAGTAGCTTAGGATGCTCCCTGAGTCTCATTTTGATATAGACGTTAGGTGGCATGAGCCCCTTTGACATGTTTCACCTTAAGGTGATATAATTGTAAAATACTAGGTCGATGCATGCTCATCTCCTACGAGTAGCTTTATGTTACTCACCCACGTAGTGGGGACATTTTTCAGGTACTGGGATCAAGATTCGGGATTCACATCATGCTTAGATGATTTATAGTTTTGAAGTTCCCATTTCTTGTAAAAGTTGGCTTGAAATGCCACTTGTAGCCTTATAAGTCAAAATGTGTATATTTGATTCCAATTATGTAATGTGTATATAAGTACACTCTATACCATGTATTTGACATGTATGAGATGAGGGCAGAGGCCAATGACATGTATCTTGTATTCTATGCAACTTTAACTTTATGAAATATTATGAAAATATTGAAAAATGCTACGTCATTGCTTCATAACTTTTGTATCGGGTGTGGGAATTCCATTCTTATTCTTTCATAGGGTCTTATAAATCATGTTTGAAGTGTGGCCAAGGGCCAAACGGTAATTTGAAATCATTTGATAATTTTGGTTTTCAAATTTCCCTTTTCTTGTTCATTTTTGCCTTTTTGACCGTTGAGGGGTCGAATTTTGTATCGGTGGTATTTTTAAGCCATGGACCATTGTAGCGCGTCCAAATAGGTAAGTTACGTTTACGTGCATGGTCATTTCCGGGCAAACCTTCTTCTTTAGTGAAATAAGCCTCCTATGGACTCATTTTGAAATTTTGTTGCATAATCTGATCTATGGGCATTCTAGACCTTTCGCATCAGTTTTAATTTCTTCTTTTGACATGGTTGAATAGAAAATGTGATTTTAGGGGGGGTTTCTTCTTCGTGTTTTTCCAGAAAATGTCGTCTTAGTACTGGAAATCCCTTGTGAAGTTTCAGCTTCCAATTTGCATTTTAGAAGCTTTTTGGCCTTCATGACCAGATTTCATGGAGGGGCATTTTGGGTATTTTACAGTAATTTTATTTTGAATTCTCTTGTGAGTCACATAGAAAACTCAATTTCAGGGGGGGTTTCTTCTTCGTGTTTTTCCAGAAAAACTCGTCTTGACCTCCGTTTCAAGCCTCAGTTCTGGAAAACCTGCTTTGGACCCTTGATGTCAGCATGGGCATGCCATTGGGCGTCGGCGCGCACGCCGGCATGGGCGTCGGGCGCGCATGGGGCATGTCATGGCCTCGTCGGGCCGCCGCGACGTCAAAACTTCAAACACTCATTTCTCCCTCGTCCGGACTCCAAATCGAGTGAACTTTTTTTTGAACTTGATTAATTTTTCGCTATCTTTCCAACGGTATGCTCGGTTGCACCGGATCTTCCTGGATAATTACCAGTTTACACTTTTAGCCTTAAGTACTCGTTTTTCTTCGTCATGCCGTTTCTCCTTCGTCCGGACTCCGAATCATGCGATTCTTGAGTCCATCTTAATTAGTTTTTCGTTGTCCTTCCAGTGGTGTGCTTGGTGGTACCCGAGTCCACAGTTTTCAGAAATGACTATTTTCTCCCTGAGGGCTTATTTGTCATATTTTTGATCTTTTGCTTCCGCATCAGTTCTCATTGAGTTCCATGACCTCATGGAAGGTCACTTTGACTTCTTAGAGTCTTATTTTCTGTTTTTGCTTCCGCAATTCGGATCCGTTATCGGGTTAATCTTCAGTTCATCACAGGACGCATTGGCTTGAAAAACCAGGGCCGTCACATTTGTACTCATACAACTTAACACATTCATTTGCACTCACCTGCACATACACTCACACACTTACACACACACTCACCTGCACACACACACACACTCACTTGTACACACTGACACACATTACAATTTTTATTGACAGTTTGATGTCCTATTTATAGGGTTTAGTAGAAACCTTTGAGAGCACAATGGAGGGATCAGATCACAGGTTTTATGTGAGGCATCTTTATGAGAATTTCAAGCTTGGATTTAAAGGCCAGCAATTAAAGATTCAATTATGGGAGGCTGCAAGGGCATACACTGAAGCAGATTTCCAACAACACTTGAGAAAAATGAAAGAGTTAAATGTTGAAGCTCATGATTGGTTGACAAAGGTGCCAGTTCATTTGTGGTCAAGGTCAGCCTTCATTGACACTTCAAAAAATAATATACTTATTAATAACATTTGTGAGAGTTGGAATGCTGTAATCCTTGAAGCAAGAGATAAGCCGATCATATACATGCTTGAGTGGATTAGAAGGCATTTAATGTTAAGGTTTCAGTGTAAGAGGGAGTGGATGCATACATAGTTTGGGTTGTTATGTCTAGATATCCAAAAAGCATTCAACAAAGTGAAACAACAAGCTTCCATGTGTAAGGTTCACTATGTTGGTGATGACAAGTACGAAGTTCAATGCTATGGAATCAGTAAGGCTGTTAACCTTGACAGACATACCTGCAGCTGTAAAGTTTGGAACTTAACTGGTATTACTTGTAGGCATGCAGTGGCATGTATATTTACTAAAAGGGACACTCTAGAGTCATATGTTCACCCATTTTATTACAGAGAAACTTATATGAAGTGTTATGGTGGTATGATCCTTCCCATTCCAATGGGAATGTTGATGAAAATTGACAGCATTGACACATTGCTTCCACCACACTATAGGAAACCCACTAGTAGGCCAAAGAAGGCTAGGAACAAGAAGAATGATGATCCCAAAGGTTCTACCAAACTTAGCAAATCAAAGGAAAGTTTGAAATGTTCCGAGTGCAAGGAAAATGGTCATAACTCAAGGACTTGCAAAATACCTAAGCCATTGGTCATTGACAGACCTCCACCAAGAAGGAGTGGTAGACCACCAAGTGTTGGAAGAGGGAGAGCAAGAGGACCTAATGGGATGTCTGTAAGAGTAAGAGAAAGAAGGGGTGGTAGAGGTAGAGCCAGAGGAGTTGATATTCAAGCTCCAATTACAAATCAAGAGGTATGGTTATTGTTCAATTTTACTTCAATTTTAATAAAAAGTACCATATTCACAGCTTTAAAATTACATATCATATTCAAGCTCACTTATTGTTTTACCACTTTTCATTTCAGGTTCAAAACATACCATTTTCTTAATTATCACAAACCCAAGCATCATTTTCTAGGTATAATGACAATAGTCCTATAATCTACTGATTAAATCTTAAGTCTTTGAGAATCATATAATCTGCTAATTAACTTGATCTATTGTCATTTTTTTTGTTTCATTGATAGGTCAATGATGGAAAGTGAGTATGCATGCTGGTAGTGAAAATGGCCACAAACTTGATGATGATCTTGTTGATGAATGTTTTGTTATATTTATGACTATTGCTGACATGAAGACTCCCATTTTTTGGTGATTGTTTAAGTGAATTGAGTGAAGACATGTTATAATATAATGGCTTTTTCTTTATTGTCAGTCTGTGATAATGTGAAACACTAGTACAAAACTAAACTGTTTATTGTCAGCCTTTTTGTTTTTTGTTAGTCTGTGTATGAAGACTTTATTATGAATGTATACCATCTTCTATCAATTTATTTATTAGTGTTTTAACTGCTGCATTTAGTTGCTTGAACTGTATAATAAGTGCAGGTCAGATCACCAAGTGCATTGCATATTCAGTGAATTGCAGTGCACTTAGATCAACTGAATTACAGTTCACTTTTGAATGGTTGATAGGTTTGTTAGTGCACATGTTACCTATAACACTAAGTGTGTCACTTTGACACTTATAGCTCAATGCCAAATCCTTGCACTTCCATTTTTGCTTGAAGTGTATAACAAATGCAGGTTACTTTGATTTTCACTTGAAGTGTATAGCAGGTGCAGTGCCAATAACTTGCAATTCCAATCACAAAATTCAACCCCCAAAACCTTGCACTTCCAATCACTGTCATAACTTGTGTTGCACTATCATTCAGCAAACCAAAATCACCTAATTTTGCTCTCATTGCATAACAAATATAACTTGCAAATTGTATACACAAATGTTAATTCCAATTGATACAACATCACCTTCAACAAAATAGATTGAATTTTCATTCATATCAAACTTTTACGAGATTTTGATTCATATAACAACATACAATCAAAAAATTCAACATATAACACTACAATCAGATTTTTTAACTCCCAAAACATACTATTAAATCTCAACAAGACAAGGAGATAGATATAACCAAAGCACTACAACTAAAACCCCTAAAACAAAATTCACTTCACAAAAAGGCAAACAAATAGCACCACAACTGACATCCCAAATAAAAACATCCTTCCAACTAACATTGACTTAGCAATTGCAATGAAATCACTAATGGGCACAACATGACCTACTCGAGCTTCATGTCCCTCTTCTGTAGCTTCACCGAAACCAGCTGAAGGAGTCCACCATTCGAAAAAATTACAAACCCTATCCTTGCAATTGAAAAACAACTTCCCAGGATTATCGTCTGACTCTGAGATCAACATAGCTGCCCTTTTATCACAAAAACATTTCCTATTCCTGAAAGGGCCCCTTCGCACCACACCACAAAACCCACGTCTTGCAGATGATTCATAACTTATTTTCTGCAAAAATAAGCACACACAGAGAAGGACAACGAAAAGGAGAATGAGAACGAGATGGATATTAAAATTGACACCATCTCGAAGAAGAAAATCAAACTAAAGATGGATGATAACACTTACCAAGACTTGTATCGATTTTTTGACTGCGATTATCAACAAAATTAATAGTTGATTGAGCACCAAGAAGAACAACAAAAAACCCTAGCAATTACAGAGTTCGTGATTTGGGGATAATTGGGTAAAGCTGTGTTTGGCTTTGTTGGTAATTATAAGGAAGGAGAATGTTTGACTTGCCTTTTCATGCTTGTAAGGGCAATATCGTCATTTAAAAAAATTCATTCAAATTTAACGGTTATTTCTTGCCGGAAGTTGGCCGGATGGGGTGATCTGCAACTTTTTGGCATAGTTCAGAGGGTTTTTTTGCATTTTTTAAAGTTCAGAGGGTTAGTTGCAAGTTTTACCATCGTTAGCGTTTTTTTTTTTTTTGCACTTAACCCTAACACATTTACGAAAATTTAAAATTTTAAGGCCGTGAATCCCTCAGCCTATGCCCAGGGCCCGCCGTATCAACCACCCTAATCTATCAAATTAGGGAACCCAATCGAAACCCTAATCAATCGATTGTTATTTTCCTCCCTTCCATTCTCTCGCATCCTCAATCATTCAAATAAGTCAATTTGAATTTCTACCTTGCGCTCCATTTGGGTGTAGCTTCTGCGAATCGGTTTACATGGAAGGAAGTCTTCACTATTTGACCAAACCAATGTCGAGAGACAGCAATGACTGGTTACCGATGGAAAACTTTAGAACTGCGGTTATGGAAATGGCAAGCATACATACAAACAAACCCTTAACGGAGGTGCGAAAATGTCTAATTGATAAACGCATCCGAGAGTTCTTCGCCCACACGCCCAGCCCTTCTGATCATCCTGTTAGGATATGTGTGCCCTAGCATAGCAAATTCTAATTTTGGATTGTAAAAGTCATGGTTTCTTATCTGGATATTATTATTAAAGCATTATACAATTGGTGAATGGAATGTATTATTTTTCGATTCATTATAGAATTGATTGTGTTCACTTGATTACAAAATATATTTATATATGTATGTAATGGCAATTAATACTATGTTATAAATTAGTAATCATAAATGGTTTAAAGTCGGTAATTATGGATGGACATTAAACCGAGTCCACGATAGATTGAGATATATTGCGAGAGCTGTCGTATGCAATTGCTCTCTATCACAGTCATGGCTTTTGACTCTCAAGCATGAGAGAAGTATAGACTCTTTTATTAATTAATAATTACTTTGATTTGTTCGGCGGATACCTCGGGATCCTTAGATCGACACTTTGGGTAGTTATGTAATTAATAATTAGAGGTCTATATTCTCAATATTTGCATCAGTCCTATTTGTATTTATTTTGTTTTGATTATGATTGATCACAAATTAAATTCGAAGGCCTTCGTATGTTTTAGACAAATGTTTTCTATATATATTTATTTAATAAATTATTATTATTTTTTGTCAAATAAGTATTTTATTGTGATCGAGCCGGAAATAATCAAAGGTAACAAAATAATTATATTAATTATGTTGTCGGATTGATGGCTTTAATTATCCGATAAATAATTAAACATAGAGGGGTCAAAGTAAAACATTGACTTAGAGGTTATTTACCAATTATTACTTTATAGGAGCCAAGAAAATAGTAAGCTCAAAAGGATTCTCACCAATAGCCTAAGTTGATATTAGAGTCATGTTAGAATTGAGAAAGTTGAATTAGAGATGGAGAATGATTTATTGTTTCCTTATTCTTATTTTTATTTTGCCTATATATACATGAGTTCATGTATATTTTAGGTGTGACTTTTAGAACAAGAAAAATGAATACACTTTCTCTTTCTACATTTTAGGGTTTAGTTTTCTCTTCTAAAGGAGACTACCACAGGTCTAGATTCCAAGGTCATTCATTAAGACATATTGGTGATTCCTAAAGGGAAGATAATAATCAAGAAGAAGGGGAAAGGATCTTGCTAAAGGGATCTACAATAAGTGAGAACATTCACTTTAGAGGAAAGTTCAAAAAGCTTACTCAAACCTTTGATATAAGTATTTAATCTGTTTATTGAATTATACATCATCTTTTATTTATCTTTGCATAAAACTTGTCTCTATGTGATAAATCAAGATCCATGATTACAAATCCCTCAAAAAGTTTTAAAAACTTACACGTTTCCCAACACATCCCCCTTACTCGGCGGTAATTATTTCTCAATTTTTAAATTCAACGACTATATATACATATATTTTTTCGTAGATATCATACATGAATGATAAAATTATGACTTTGAGCTGCGAATGATAAAATTGTTACTTTGAGGTTGTTTTTTAAATTAGGGTTTGTGTGTGAAGACCCAGAGACATGAATGCATGATTGTATTTGTTTTGAGGTGAAAAAAAAAAAAAAAAAGGCCCAGTCATTAACTGAATTGGGGACTTTGAACTACAATAGAGTAACTTTCTTATTTTTTAAATGTTCAAATATGGACAATCTAGGTTTGGTGGTTGGAAAATGAAAGGTTTATAGAGGGGGTGGTTTAATTGCTCTGCTTTTGTCTGTTAGTATTTATTTTACATACGTGTGTCTCTGTGTTTGTTTCTTTGTCTGTGTAGATGTTAGTCGTGTGTACATTGCATGTTGATGGATAAAATCTTTTGGGTGGTGTCATGTTGTGCAGATGATACATAGGGCACTTCAAGAGTTGAACGAGGAAGGTGGTTCTAGTGGAGAGTCAATATCAAATTTTATTAGAAAGGAGTATAAAGAATTGCCATGGGCACATTCTATATTCTTGAATCATCATCTGGGGAAACTTTATGTGAGTAGTGAGATTGTTTTGACTCGTCGCAATTCTTATTTGCTTGCTGGTGCAATCATGAAACAAAAACCTAGCTCTAGACCTCGTTCTAAGAGGAAGGAACTGAAGAGAAAGCGAAGCAAGAAGTGGCGAAGGGAACTGGGTTGTCCATGTAACAAACAAGAAATTGAAGCAGAATATCACTTGAAAGGACAAATGGAAGTGATTGAAGAACTAAATCAAGCATTAGAAGATCCTACCGACGTGGTTGACAAACAAAATCAAAATCAAAATCATGCTCCAATTGGTGAGATGTTGCACTCCTGTGATGATGGTGAGAAGGATGATGGTAGGAAATTAAAAGTGCTGCCTGTTGAGTCTCTTGGGCCCATTATGGAAGAAGAAATTGAAGCAGAATATCAGTTGAAAGAACCGATGGAAGGGATTGAAGAACAAAATCAAGCATTAGAAGATGAGAAGAATGATGAAAGTTTAAAGTTGTCTGTTGAATCCCTTGAGCTTATTATGGAAGAAGAGAAAAAAGAATCTTCAGAGGAGGAAGAGCAGCCGGTGAAGAGTCCTGGAGAGGAAAGTTCTGATATCGCTGTTTTGCAGCCGGAACAGCAATTAGATCTTCCACTTCCTGAAAATTTTTCAGAGCTAAAATCAACAGAATTGAGTTACACACCGGATCAGCTGGAGCAGCGGACACAGGAGAAGCCACAACGTAGGCAATTACGGCCTCGACCTCCCAAAGCTGGATCACTGACAGATATAAGTATGACCGAATCCTTGCCCTCACAACATCAGCATGAGG